GTGCATGGCCGCGCAGAATTCTGACAAATCGAAATTAGCACTGATGAAACTTCCAAAGATAGGATGCACCAGCAGGAATCCTGAGCGAAGCCAAATAATTCATGCAAAAACAGCTCTAAGAAATTGCACTTCCCTTGATATAAGTAATGTCCAAAGACTTTTTGCAGGTGTCAACATACCGCTAGAGGTCTTACAGCATGCCAGGTGACAGGCTACACCCGCTCTTCACTATAATCCTCGTCAATATGGCTTACATACAAACTCCGAGAGAATTAGAATTACCTTTTGAAGTGAGAATATAAGAAGCGGTTTGATTGATTATAGCTTTTCTTGACTATTTTCGGACGTAGGGTGAATCGCAGACTCAACGGCAAGGAGGCAGATGCTCTAATTGATGTATTATGTGTTTGGGTCAGTGGCAAAAATCTTATTGTATTCATGTCCTTAACATGTCGAAGAACCTCGCTACCAACTCGATCTTACAACTAGCCAGGCTGACTAGTAGAAGGTGGGTGGGCTGGCTAGTAATTCTAAATAATAAGCCGAGCCTATCTAAGCTCAATTTCTATCAAGGGGCCGGTGTAAACTTTGCGACCATATATAAGCCAGAATACCAGACTGAAAATCGTAGTGCCACCAAATACAGCTACTGACCAGTTCATTGTCACAGCCGTCGGCCTCGGCGATGGTGGCCAAAAGGAAAAGAAAAACCCAATGACGCTGTACAAGATGGAGAGGATGATTATGGGAACGCCCAAACGTCCAAGCCGAAAAGGGCCGTAATGTATGTGGCCATAAGGGGTGGTCAGGCGTTTATGCAGCAAAATACCCGCAGAAAGTAGAAAGGTGGAATAGAAAGCTGCGATGGTGAGAGAGATTAACGCGTGAAATGTCGTCGAGGATCCAATATTGATAAGGGCCAGGACGAGACTGACGATGGTTGACAGACCAATGGCATATAGAGGGAGGGCAGAGCGGGATTCGACCTGAGATAGAGACGAGTCAGTGGTACACTACGAAAAAGTTTGCTTGATCGAACCTTTGCGAGGAACCCAGATCCTGGAAGACCTCTCTCCCGCGCAAAGGCCCAGGCCATTCGGGAAGCGGTAGTGTGACAGCCAATAGTATTTAAATACTAAAGATATTATAAAAAAATATATAAGATTAGAGTAAGTAATTTTATTTTTTATATAAAGAGATCTTAAACTAATATATTAGATATAAATAAATATTTATCTTTTATTAATTATATATATAATTAAAATTAGTTATAATAATTAGGATTTAATCTTATATAATCTAGCTCTAAATCTACTGCACCATATTATACAATCTATCTATAGCTTCGTACAGCTCTTAATAATTATATCACAAATAGAAATAAGCCAGAATTGGGATTATCAGTAAAGCCTACAGGAGCATTGGACTGGCAGCCTTCGGAGGAACAATATTATCATACTCCGTGCTAATCAGACGACTAGATTAGAATTGTCGTACGAAGAAGTAGATAGCGATAGGAAGGTGGTGGCAGCGAGGTCTGATGTAAGGAGTTCTGGATTCTGGATTCTGATTTCTGATTTCTGATTTCCGATTTCCGAAAAATTTGATTTGGGCTCTAGCACGTAATAGTCCGCCGTAGTAAACGCACGAGCAATGCAGAAACCGCCCCTCGAGCAAGCACTTACACTCCTTCTGGAACCTGGTCCTGCACTCAATCTGCATGGGAGATACGTCGTGTTTGCGGACCAGTACTCGTATTATTGCACTCACGATAGATGTCATTAGAGCGACCCATGCTCATCCTGGTGGACACGGCTGTGGAGGAGGAGGCAAATGGGGTCCGTACGATGCGAGATGATCACAATGCCAACTGTGCTGGGGTGGTGTTTGGTGCCACACTCAGTTCTAGAATGCCCCGAGTTACTAGTTACGACAGCAGGGCCGGCTACCAGAGGCTCCTGCGCGAGGTGATAGGGGATGGGGGATTTGTGGTCGGCGGTACTCTCCTCCGGCGGTAACGGGATTTCATACGAGTTATGACACGCAAGATTTACCGTATAATACGCCAGTGTGTAAATGCCATGTAGCCCAGCGGCTGGACAATGGAACTTGACATTTACACCACAAATGATATCCATGTCTACAGAGAGAAATACATCATTTCATGTTATGAGTTTCTTTGATTCTGCATAACGCTCATTATTATGTCCAGATTCTGAGTATTATCTCTTTAAGAAACAACTAATGCATCCTCATCCAATTGTTTGGAATTCTGAAATGACCGTGCTTGAGTACCCCTAGTTCCCAATTACTGTCGCTCCGCCGATATTTAATAGAAGATTCTGCCGTTTTCGGCCTTGAGGTAGTCCAATGCAGTCATGTCCTCAAACTGCGCTGGCCGTTCCGGACTGACAAATTCAGGCAGTGGCCCGACCGATATGCTCGCACTCGGCCGGTGAAACAATACGGTCGAGAACCTCTCCGGCGCCACGCCCCCAGTAGCTCCATCCTCTGCAACGTCACTACTTGTCCACGGCGCAGCGACATAATGCACCCCTGCTCTCAGCAACCCGTTCGTCCACCTCTCCAGCGTATTGGCTACAATCACCACCATCTCCGTCACATCCTCGCTCTCGACCTTCAACCATTGCCCTGCATTCTGTCGATCCTCGAGCATTAGCCCATCCGCACCGTCATGGAACAAGATGCTGAAAATCCCCGTGTCAGTATGTGGCCAGATCCGGCGGGTGATGGTGTCGTCCGCGAGTTGAGCAACGGGCATGGAAGGGTAGTGATTCAGGCGCAGCTCGCTGCTTTCCGGCCGGCAGCGCACGGTGAGGGCACCCGCCGGGAGGTGCAGGCCGAGCTCAATGGCAGTCACAAGGCCATGGCAGGTGGAGCCCAGTTCTTTGTAGAAGGATTCGAGGGTGGGACGTAAGGTTGGGATTGTGGATTTAGGCAGCCAAGGGGTAGGAAAGATATGGTCGGTGGGAGAGCCCATTTCAAATTGTTCCTGAAAGTGGAAGATCAAATTCAGCAGAGCGGACGATTTGTCTTTTGGGGAAGAATTGACTGGGGTCATAACAGTAGCAGTAGCGTTCGTACCCTTGCGTCAATTGCATCTGGGATCTCAACAGAGGATCTGAGTTTGTGTGTCTTTTCGTTGCTCCACGGGCTATAGCCACGGGCTGGCGATGCCCCTCCTTTATGGTGAACGCTCATCTTGACCCCCGGTGGGAGATTAAAGAACTGACGACTCTGTGTGGTACATATCAGTTGTGACTACGAATCGCACTGAAAGGTTAAGGGTGCTGAGGCAGGCTCACAACATCGAATGTGTTGATGAGAGACTGTGCGGAAACACCATGATTGCGAAGTTTGACTAAACCATGCTTATCAAAGCCGTCCATCAGGTCTCTGACAAACTGGTTTTGCTCTGCCTCAGAGCCATTGAAGAATAAGGAGGCATCGAGAGTGGAGAAAATCATGTTTCTCCAAACAACAAGAACCAGCGAGTTCAATTGTGTCGACTTGGAGATATGACGGAATGTAGAAGAGGTTGATTGATTGTATATGTATCTATATAAAGAGCGCAACTCCTGCAGTACCATACTGCGAAATCTGAGCTGGCGCGGTCATGTGACAAACGAAAATGGGTCAGCCAGTTATTGTGTGCATGGCCGCGCAGAATTCTGACAAATCGAAATTAGCACTGATGAAACTTCCAAAGATAGGATGCACCAGCAGGAATCCTGAGCGAAGCCAAATAATTCATGCAAAAACAGCTCTAAGAAATTGCACTTCCCTTGATATAAGTAATGTCCAAAGACTTTTTGCAGGTGTCAACATACCGCTAGAGGTCTTACAGCATGCCAGGTGACAGGCTACACCCGCTCTTCACTATAATCCTCGTCAATATGGCTTACATACAAACTCCGAGAGAATTAGAATTACCTTTTGAAGTGAGAATATAAGAAGCGGTTTGATTGATTATAGCTTTTCTTGACTATTTTCGGACGTAGGGTGAATCGCAGACTCAACGGCAAGGAGGCAGATGCTCTAATTGATGTATTATGTGTTTGGGTCAGTGGCAAAAATCTTATTGTATTCATGTCCTTAACATGTCGAAGAACCTCGCTACCAACTCGATCTTACAACTAGCCAGGCTGACTAGTAGAAGGTGGGTGGGCTGGCTAGTAATTCTAAATAATAAGCCGAGCCTATCTAAGCTCAATTTCTATCAAGGGGCCGGTGTAAACTTTGCGACCATATATAAGCCAGAATACCAGACTGAAAATCGTAGTGCCACCAAATACAGCTACTGACCAGTTCATTGTCACAGCCGTCGGCCTCGGCGATGGTGGCCAAAAGGAAAAGAAAAACCCAATGACGCTGTACAAGATGGAGAGGATGATTATGGGAACGCCCAAACGTCCAAGCCGAAAAGGGCCGTAATGTATGTGGCCATAAGGGGTGGTCAGGCGTTTATGCAGCAAAATACCCGCAGAAAGTAGAAAGGTGGAATAGAAAGCTGCGATGGTGAGAGAGATTAACGCGTGAAATGTCGTCGAGGATCCAATATTGATAAGGGCCAGGACGAGACTGACGATGGTTGACAGACCAATGGCATATAGAGGGAGGGCAGAGCGGGATTCGACCTGAGATAGAGACGAGTCAGTGGTACACTACGAAAAAGTTTGCTTGATCGAACCTTTGCGAGGAACCCAGATCCTGGAAGACCTCTCTCCCGCGCAAAGGCCCAGGCCATTCGGGAAGCGGTAGTGTGACAGCCAATAGTAGCAAAAATCATTGCCATAACTACAATTGAGGCCTACGTCAGAATTGTCAGTCTCATGTCGCGATCCTTTTCTCCATTTGTGAGTCCGTAGAACAAGCTGGGGGGTATCCAATGAGCTCACCATGGCGGTTGTTCCAGCGCGTGAATTTGTAGCATCCAGGAAGATCTCGATGAAGGGAAACCCTGTTGGGTGGTGCAATGCAGCCTCCGCATCACGTAAGCAGAAGAGTGTCGCTATAACCATGGCAAAACCAAGGGAACCGTTGAGAATTACTGAAGCCAGCATACTCGTTGGTACTATGGTAGATGCATTCTCAATCTCTTCAGCTAGCGTTTCAAGAGCCATTAGCAGCACATTTCTAATTCAGTTGCGGTCAAGCAAGTATACTAACCCATATGACTCGCTGCATCACATCCTAACCACGATACCATGTCAACGTTATCTTTTGATTTTAGCAGGTTGGAACATACCAATAAAAGCAAACATGCCGGTAGAAAGACCAATAAAGAAGGATAATCCAGGATCACTCCAGCCTGCAGCATTCGTGAAGTTGGCAAAGACCTCTTTGGCTGAGACGTGAGGTCCTAGGTATACCATCGGTATGAGAACACAAAAGAATCCCAAAATGTGGAGGATCAATACTACAGATTCGATTTTCGGAAGAAGCCTTGCAACAATGGTATTAATGATGAGGCTCAGGACGACGATGGCGTAAAAAATCAGTGTTGCGTGCCATCTTTCAGGTTCGTAGTTACTGTAGTTAAGTCTCGCCAGACCCTGTATCATGGATCCGCCGAGAAAGGAAGCGCCGGCAAATGCTGATTGCCATGAAATAATGCTCATCCATCCGGTAAAATAGCTGAGAAATTTGGAACACCAGGGAGGGGATAAGATGGCAACCCTGGAGAGACGGTAAGCATGAGCACTCATTTACCGGCAAAGAGTTGTGCTTACCAGTTATACTGCCCTCCAGAGAGCGGAATCCTGTACAAAGAATAAGAGAGCGCCAAGGGTCCTTAATTTTTAGTAGTGTTACTTACATCGAGGCCATCTCGCCCATGACCAGAGCTTGAAGAAAATTTCCTATCCAAGCAAAAAGGAATCCGTAGACAAGCCCCGAAGGCCCACCATTAGAAAGGCCTGACTGAAACGTGCTGGTAATGGCGGTCAGTCGGATCCTTCATCTCAGAACTAAGATGATGTTAACAAACGTCAATGTCCCTTCCCACGTAATCATCAGAGTGCAGGTCAACCCGATTATCGAAAGCAGACCGAAATTTCGCTAAATGACTCTGATGAGACCCATGTCCAAAGGCCACCACGAAAGTTCATACTTTTAGCTGCGGCTTTTTCCCGAACCTGGCTAGCTCATCCTCGTCTCGGAGGTATCGAAATCTTGTGTTCGATTCGAGAAGTCGTTCAGATGTCGTAGCTGCTGAGGATATAATCTCCGTCTTGTGTGTCTCCCTTTCAACTGCCATATCCCTTTTGAACACAAAGAACTCTGGACACAATAGGATTTTGATGGTAGTAGACACTCACTGCTCAAAAACAGAACAGAGCATGCAAAAGTGTGAGTAAGTCGAATTTTGGAAGGAGCAAAAGGGAGGGTATGTTAATGGATCGCAAATGGAAGTAAATATGAGGGAAAATCATCAAGTAGACGATATGTGGAGGACCTCAGGGGGGACAAGCACGAGTTGGCCTACACATGTTACACTGATCCAATGTGAGTTCTTCCAAGGATCCCGCTCTGTGCTAACGGGGATGGATTCGGAAACAGGGTTCTAGAACCCTACATGTGGAGTGGTCGTGGCCCAATGGGTAGATCCCTCTGGGCCTCACTTACAGGAGGACTCAGCCCTTGTAAGCCCTGTATAGGCTGCTACATGGGCGGGGTTTGGCCGGGTTAGGTCAAGTTTTCTTAGCACGTTCTTATTAACCACTAAGATGCCAAGAGTAACAGGCTAACTTAATTAGCAAAAGAGTTCTCAAAATTTCATATATAATAATATATTTTCTTATTTATAAATAAATATGAGAGTTTATTAATTATTATAGAGATTATTAAGTCTTTTGTTATTTAGATTTAAGGCTTTAAAGCTTATAATTTCTATTATTATGTTATTTATAAAATAATCATTATAATTCTATAGCTATATAAAATATTTCTATTATCTAAAAGTTTTCTATAATTAAGAATTAAAATTTCTTATTTATGTTATTAAATTTAAATAAATTTAAGACTATTTAAATTTGTTTTATTTTTCATCTTATTTCAATCTAATACTTATTAATAAAGAAATATATAAAGTAGAAATTAAAGAATTAAATATTATCAGTAGTTATATATTTTGCGCAAATTTTATTAAGAAATAAATTCTTTTATAAATAGAGTCTAAAGAGATTTACTGGGTAAGTCACGACTTGATAAAGAAGAACTATATGTAATAAGTTGCACTAGAATCATAGTGCAATCTTACATAAATTTAGTAATTACCTATAATAATGAGATAAAAAAATTTTCTGTACTAGATTCTTGTCAGGACAGAATATATATATCGTGTGTCCTGTCCTCTTATGTTTATAGCTGTATGTAGTCAACTCATGTTTCATACTCACATGTATCTTCCAGTGTCTTAGATGGTACTACAGTATCAGACAAAATGATCGTCACCCCTACGGCCTACGCTAGTATCTTCAGACCAAAACAGTCACCAAACATGTTTGGCTAAGTAGAGCTAATCCAAAGATGAATTAATTAGGGTTGGCCGACTTGTCTGTATGGCTGCTTGATTTTATAAGCTTTTTGACGACCAGTTAAAACTCTCTAGAAATGTATCAGAACTAGTTATTACTAGCACGGTATTGACGGTTATTATGCCTGGTACCATAGTATGCTCTGTCCCAAACTTAGAAACTATTTTGGCCCCAACTGTGGTGTGACGGCGTTAGACTAAGTTGATCTAACCCAGAAAGACGCGGTGGAACGTGAGTTTCCTGCTTTGAAGCTTTTCTGATTGGAACCCATGGATCTCAAGACAGTTTGTGAAATGGGTAACAGCTATTGCTGCATGCATCTAGCGAGTAAAGATGCCTGAAACCCTCCTAGACAACCCTGCTCCGGTTGCTGAAGATGTCGAAGGATGGATGCGCGTACCATACGTAGTCTTCTATTGGCTGTGTTGGAAAGCGGAGATTGATGCTGTATCAGGAAGTCAGGATGGATAGAATTCAAGGTTCAGGGATGTGTGCTCGTACCAGCTTACGTCGAGAGAATGTTGATGTAAAAGACATACTGGGTTACGTACTTACAACAACAAACTATGTCCCTTAACATCATCTACCACAGCACATAAGACCTCTTCTACAGATCAGCTTCTTGGTCAAAGAACTAGCCGTCCAAAATTTTCACTCTCGAAGCACACTATCAACAACAGGCTTACAGCAGCGCCCCTAGGGGATGGATCTGTCGATTGAAGAATGCAGCGATGATGACATGCTTCGTACTTTCGAGATCATTTCAGCTGCCTTCTGCCACGAACACCCCTATATCGAAGCTGTTTTTCCCTCTCATGATTCGTCAATGGGTCGTGTTGCCGGCGGAGCGCGGATGCTTGCCATCAAGCGGACAGACCCTCACACTATTTTCATCAAGGCTGTTGACAAGGCCACAGGACTGATGATCGGGCAGGCCAAATGGAACATATATGATGGCGTCGTGCCAGCAGAGGTCGAATTAGAAGGAAACTTCTGGGACACCGCAGACGAGAAAGAATTCGCGCAGCATCTGTATCGCGAATATCTCGTACCGAGGCGGACAGCGGTTAGAGAGCTCGGAGGGAAAGTGATCTGTAGGTGAACCTCCAGCAGCTTATTTTTCTGGAACCCTGGTCACGCGCTGGGGCCTCGTTATGTTTGTGCATTCGGTAGAGGTATTCGTCTGCTGACACCTGCTGGGCCAACAATGAATAGCCCTGGATATTTTGACTGTGGACCCAGAGTATCAGAAGCGTGGGGCGGGTCGCTTGCTTGTGAGATGGGGAACGGCTCTTGCTGACAAAACAGGGGTGGAGGTGGGACAAGTACATCATGCTTAAGCGAAAGAGCTAACGCCCATCCTTATAGACCGTCGTTGAAGCTAGTGAATATGGGTTGGAATTATACCGGTCCGAGGGGTTCGAGGTGAAACGCCGCTACGAAATCTGCCTACCAGAGAAATGGGCGGAAAGGGACACGCAGAGATTCATTTGGATGGTTCGGCCGGCGAAGAAGATAGATCAAGGGGCTCAATGCTAAGGCAATTCGTGTAATAGGACTTGACAAGATAGCTTATTCTAGTATCTCGGTCTGCCTCATGCTCCATCCACCTACTAAACTCCCACTTTCAAAAGTTTGTAATGAATATGGCCTTAGACGAGCATCCCATTGTTGACAGAGCTTCTCCCTTCGCATCCCCGTGAAGTATCATATTGTATAGAGATTTCTACCGTCCTTTTGATGCTCGTTTCCTCCTCAGAATCTCTTTTGTCTTTTTCTGGCCTGCGGGAATGCTTTCTGGCAGTACTTAAGAGGTAGCGGGAAGAGGGGTTAGGCGCTAGTGAGTGGACGTCGCTGGCCAGGACGCCGCTTTGGATTCCATCCATTACAGGTTTTAAGAAGGGGATGCATGTGACAACAATGCTGAGATTATTGTGAATGGAGGTTAGGAGTACAGTGTTGAAATCATCATATGCTCGATCAGAAGAGGAGGAAGCATTGTTGAGAAATACAAGACGAATAATGATGATCGGAATGATCCTAGACATATGTTAATACTCTTCTCTGGTGAAACTCATGGCAGGAGATACTAACATAGCTCGACAGGAAAATGCAATAATGACTGGGACTTTATATTTCCAACCTATGTGCAAGTCATGAAGCAGATAAGTTGGCAATGAAACAATTGCAAGATCGATAAGAATATCCACAACACCAAAGGCGTTCCAAAATGCGTTCTGCTCGGAATATTCAATATTTAAACTGCTGTTATTTGAACTTTTTACTAACCTGAGAGAAACACTTTGAGGAGAGAACTTTCCAGGGGTCTGGTAGAGGGCACTGAAATGCCATAGCAAAGATCATACTGATGATCGACAGGACATTAAAGGCCATGACTGCATGTACAAATCGTCGCCGAATGTTCTTGCGTGAAAGAGTCCCAAGGATTTGCAAAAGAGCCATCTTTGTGACGCAGAGGGAGCTAGCATAAAGAATTTGGGACCCATAGGCAGCCTAGGCTTCAGTTAGACTGGATACTTGGAGAAATCTGGAGGAAATTATCAGGCAGATACTTTCTGGTAACGAAGGACTTGGTCGTCGCTGAGAGTTGACGTGTGCCGCCCCAATCCAGCAGATACCTGGGAAGACACTGCAACGGCCCAGCCAGATGCAAACACCTGGACCACGTCACTTCTGCATAAAGGGTGTGGGGTAGGTCATGCATACCATTGCAGCAATCATGTATAAATCGTCATATTGTAGCTTTCGGACCACGACCCATTTGCTGAATAGCTTGATCATTGTTGCTAAGCACATCATTACAAGTAGTATCCAATTGATGACATTTAACAACGGTCCCCGGTTGTTCACTGTGACGGAGATTCTGTCAGAAGCCATTTTGTCGCTGTTCCTGAGACATCTAAAGGAAATGGCTCGAGTAGGAATCGGAGCAGAAGTCTCATCAGAGAAAAGCTTTGTGTTGGTGCATGAAATAACAACCGAGCAAATACAATACACTAAACAGAATGAGAAGAGGAGAGGCTGAAGAGATATGCGGTGATGCCTCGCAATCCAAAATAGGCTCTGCAAAATTTTAGTACGCAGTCTTTGTAATCATGGTAGATCAACCAGGTTTGTGTTGTGAGCCAACACATTGTTTCAAACCTTGTTCTTGCTATCACTTTTACGGAATGAGGAATGAACGACGATCATCGTCAGGATTGTTTGACACTGACATGCATATCCATTCTAGCATATATGCATGACCGTTAGTCCCGGTCGCTCGTTCCCAATGGAGCGCCTAGTAAGGAATATATCCTTGTCCAAGTAATACAGCTTGACATGTGAACGCACCAGGCAACGTACTAGTAAGTGACGTACAGGAAGATCTTGTAGCAATGTCCGATAGAAATTAGCCGGAAAATGCTGCAATCACTGCGGCTGAAATTGGGGCGAAATGATACTGGGGAGGATTCAAGGGACTCCGTACAGAGAAAATCCGCAAGTACTACGGGGGGGCCATAAGTAAAGTTAGCTCCGCACTAGTAAAACTCTCCCGAAACGCCCTCTTGACAGAACCTCTTGTACGGCGTTATGACCTCACTGCTCTCCGCGTTTCTATCAATTCTACGTGTTACATTCAATGAATTTTGATGAATTTCGTATAGATTCTTTTGAGTTCAACGAATTTCACGTTGGCAGCTTAGATACAGTCCCTAAGAGCTATCTTATTGAGCTCCTCAAGTTGATGCCAGAGGGGTGCCGGGCAGTGATGGATGCAGAAGGACGGCATACTCGATATTATAAAAAACCAGACTAGTCCTAATAGAGCGGTTTGGTGACGTTATATCTTGGCAATTACATGGTGTAACTAGCGTGGAGCTAACATTACTTATGGCCCCGTAGTAGAAATCCAAGCGGCTCAGGCGGTCATCAACCATCCGGCTGCGGCTTTAGTCCCACCGGCGGAAACTATCGTAGTACGATAAACTTCTATGCTTTTCTGGAGTTACATATCTGTATATATTTCCCTCTTTTCATATTTGCTCATAGTCAGTTCATGTTTTTACTTATACACAGCTTTCAATAAACATACAGTGTGTCTTCACACTAGTACAGAAACTCCTTTTGCTTCGACCTGCAGAGATAATTATCCATCTGTGTAACCATGACAAGAGATTCGTTTTGTAATTTCATGTTATTTTGGTCACCGAGTGACAGTTTCTCCGAGCTTGACCTACTGTACTAACCTAAGTCTTCTTTTGATGCGTGTCCTAATAATAAGTTTAGCTGCAGTCAGATTTATTAATGAACGGAATGCATTAGGCTGCTTCGCCTAATGGGCGCGAAAATACTGGGTGTCACCTGTGAGCTTTGTGTAATACAAAAACCAATCTCTGTAAATAGCCTATCATGGATTTCCTGATCTGCTTAATGATTTCAGTCGACATTTGTCAGCCACCATACCTCTAGATGTATTCTCCCGGAAGGGAAATTTCGGAGGAAAAAAGTACTTAATCAGTTTGTTGAATATCTTAAGAGATCCTACTATAACGATCTTAACAGATCTATTGTCTTTCACCATTTGCTACTCTCCTTCATTCATGGTAACTACAATCAAGATCTAGGTCTTTTGAGCAACTGATCAAGATCAATTAAGAGCATTCATTCCAATTAACAAAGAACCTCTACAGTAACAATTTCATTAAATACACAGAGGACTAGAACAACAACTATACACGTTGGCCGCAGCTGTTTCACTTAACAACTTTCGAGGTATCACTTTTAGAGCTTCGGTATTCCTAGCACGAACGGTATTAAATGCCGAGAATTAAGTCACGTACACTTAAGTCATATGATACCTAAGCAATGGCAGACAGCAGACTTATGATCTTGAAACTGTTCGCAGTTTGATGTTCTCTACTCATTGTTCCCTAGATAGCTGAGGTGAGAGCTACATTCAATCCTTCAATATCGCCGTATACTATAATATCTAACCTCTTACATAAGTCTGTCATTTGTATGCAGCACGGCACTGACACAAGCACAATCCTATCTTACAATATTCTCACAAAGAAAGAAAACGATACAATTTCTAATATCAAGAGGTTACAGAACACATCTAGCAGGCAGTGCATACAACTTCTAATAAATTCAAGAGGGGATCGCATCTTTCAGCGATGATTGGACAGAACGGCATATCCGAGCACAGCAGCAAGGCAAGAGTCACACAGGTTGGTATTTCCAACATTCTGCAAAGTATTGCTGGCGGCTAGCAATCAGGGGGCCTTATATAGGTGCATTAGTGAGCTCGGACATCGCTCCCAGTACCGTTAAATCTCAAGAGCTGCGCCATTTTCTGATGAGCCTAATGCAGTGTCATGGAGTCTCGGTAAAACTTTTAAACAAAACGTTACTGGCAACCAAGGTAGACGTAAAGCTGATACTGATGTAGCTTACCTGCCATGATGACTTCCATTCGCTTCCATTTGTCCCACTGATATTCCACATTGAATGGCCACAAGGTATCACGATCCAAAACTTCCATCTTCATCATCTTTCAAATAAGTACCAATTGCGCTATTGACAACATGCCCGGATCCCAAAACTCCAATCGACATGGCGGCCTCGCCAACGTCGCCATGCCACCAGATTCTCAACCCGAAGGTATGATCGTGTCCGATAAGACGACAATACCAGCTGAAGAGAGCGGACCGGATAACGTTACAGATGTCCACGGAGATATAGCCTTGAGGGAAGGTATATCAAATGGCCTGTCTCGTCAGCGAAAGTGGATTATTATGTTTGCTTTGTGCACGGCAGTTTTCATTGTTGCACTGGATTACTTTATCCTGACCACGGCTCTACCGACGGTGACCAGCGAGTTTGGAACATCGGACGCTGGATTTGCATGGATCGGATCTGCCTACCTGCTGACTCATGCCGCGTTCACCCCGGTCTGGGCGACCATCAGTGATGTCTTCGGGAGGAAGATGGTTCTCAACGTCACTAATGGCTTCTTCTTCGCTGGAGTCCTCATCGGCGGTTTATCCGGTAACACAGCGATTCTGATTGTAGGTCGCGCGATACAGGGCGTCGGGGCGGCCGGTATAATGGTGGTGGCTCCCATATGCGTTGGGCATCTCTTCAACCAGCGGTTAGTTGGCCACTTCACACGTGCCAATCCAACGATGCTGATTGTGGTACGACAGAGAGCGTGCTCATTATATCGTTATCCTTGGAGCCGTCATCGCCTTCTCTTCGGCCGCTGGACCATTTATTGGTGGGATTCTGACAGAAAGACTCTCCTGGCGATGGTGTTTTTGGATCAATCGTATGTCATGCCCCAATGATTGAAGGCTATAGTAACAAAAGCAAGTGCCTTTCACCGGACTCTCCTTCATAGCCCTGACACTGTTTCTGCACATTGAAAGTCCCAACATAGGGCTCATAGAAGGGCTTCAGTTGATCGACTGGCTTGGAAGTGTGACCATCGTCGGTGCAACCGTAATGTTGCTTTTAGGTCTCCAACTCGGTGTGTCTCAATATGCTTGGGATTCCGTGACTGTCGTCTGCCTCATAATATTCGGGACGGCAACGTTCGGAATCTTTGGTTTTATCGAATACAAAGTTGCAAAGACTCCGATCATTCCGTTAAAGCTCTTTGCACGACGCCCTCGTGTTGCGGTGATGGTCGTTTGCATCTGCCAGGCTTCGATCTTAGCTGCCTCCACCTACTTCCTTCCTTTGTATTTTCAGATTGTTCTTGGAGCATCACCTTCGGCATCCGGCATCTACTTTCTTCCGACCACTTTGACGCTTGCGCTATTCTTACTCGCCGTTGGACACATCATCCAAAAGACTGGCAGATATATTGCGCTAGTCAGGACCGGAGCCTGTGCGCTGCTGCTTGGAACAGGATTTCTGGTCGACACCAAGGCGTATCTCAGCTGGCCAAGGATTATCGTCTCACAAATTGTCGTTGGCAGCGGGCTGGGCCTCCTCAATCAATCGCCACTGGTTGCCTTATACGAAGTTATCGATCCGCAGGATGTCACCACCGGGACATCTGCCTACCAATTCCTCAAGATTTTCAGTGAAACGATCAGTGTCATTCTTGGGCAAGTTATCTTCCAAAGCCAGGTGCAGAGACAGTCGGCGGCGCTCCTGCACCGGAGCTTACCACCATCAGTGATCTCGGCTCTAAAGAAGGGGCAGTCCATCCTATTAGCATATGAGGTAAAGAATTTAGAAGGGGAACTGCAAGAGTTAATACATGACGCGTTTGTGGTAGCATTAAAGAGAATGTGGATTTTCTACACTGTCATCAGCTTCCTTGCAGTCGTCGCGAGCATGGTCATTATTGGAAAGAAATTGACGAGATAAATCGGGATCGCTCACTGCATGGACTGGTCCATGTAAGCACCATAGCCATTGAGAGAGGGGGGCAGGAGAGTAGTACTGTGTCTGTCAATCGCATGCTTCTACATTACTCATTGCAATTCAGAAACAGTGCACTCTCCTCATCCGAGTCCAGTACTGTTGTAATCAGTTTCTGCTCAAGAGGGTCATCCTGCGTGCTAGTAGGCTGTTATAGATTTCAACACATTGTAATAGCTCGCAGCCTTTCGAATTGAGCTAAATAGCCCTGTATCAACGTCATTTGAGGCCTGCTGAATAGAATACTCCTTATCTGAGTCCATTTGGAGTTAAAGTGGTGGAGCTATAGCTGTTCGAAATATGAGGATGCCTGTGCGTTGGTGTGCAGAAATTGGCCCGCCATACCGCCAAGTGGGGTGGGCCGGCAAGTGGTTCTGTACATTAAATAAGCCGAGGTGCTCGTCAAGCGCCGGAGTTCTACTAAGGACTCATTACCTTTAGCTGCCAGCGGCGTAAATCAATCACAATTCAATCGATCCATCATGCAAGCGAGATCTTGTTAAGGTGAGGGAACCTAAGTCTTTATCAATGAACAAATCAGAGCGGTATGACAGGACCGTAACATTACAGAAATTCTCCGAGTACGGCATGTCAGATGTTCCAATTTCAGCAGGCGTCATCTGACTCAAGTCTAGATCGCTCACTTCCCCCGTCGTCACCATCCGGGTTGGCTCAGAGAATCCTGTGGCACTCAATCTGCATTGAGCCTTAGTCTGTAGGGAATCCGCGCACATCTCTCCAAGACTTTTCAAGGTGCGTTCAAGGAAAGTGCGGAGCAAGAATGTATTTTGTCCGAAGAGGATCGACGAATCTTCGGCTACTTTGTCGAATACATGTACCGTGAAGGATGGCTCCACGACGCAAAGAGCAGTCTTCACCAATCCAAGCTCTCCACACTTGCTCGACTGTACACCATGGGTGACAGGCTCATGGTGAAGGGTCTCCAAGACCTCGCCCTGCGAAAGATTGCTGTCACCCTCGACAAGACTCGCGACTTACCGGATCAAGAAGAGGTCTGCGACTTCCTAGAGGTTGCTGGTGCAGAAGTCCCTGACACGCCCAACGACGATGCACTCCAAGCCCAGGTGTTATGGTACGCTGCATCACGGCTTCACAAGCTCCAGAACTTCAACCGATTTCATGAACTTCTTCGACAATACCCTCAGCTTGCGGTCAAGCTGTGCATGCTAGCAGGGAACGGGAACACTACCCAGCCAAAAATACCCAGTATTTCCGATGACAAAAGATTCAAGCCTGAGAGTATCTATTCTTAAAGGGTGTTTAGCGGCCAATGTGCTATGTCTTGGATATGGCTGGCAAGTCGAGGTCGACGGATGTGTTTTGCGGGCTAGCCTTGTGCTTGCTTTATGATCGAATTGGATAAACAATGAGTACTAGCAATCTTGTTCAAAAGATGAGATGTTGGCGGGCTGCCTTTTGGCGCCTTCTTCTTGCCCTCGTCTCCCGGACCCAATTTTCCCCTACCTTCGCTTCTGCTCTATATTGTTTCCCCCGCTTGTATCCTACCATCCATTCCGCATTTACGTGCTACTTTAGAAAATCATTCTACTTTCCCGTGAAAGTAATCCTACAATGGCGCTTCACGTCAAGATACTTGGGCCCCACAGCACGGGACTCTGGGTTCCTCAAAGGCCTGAGAACTGGAAGTCTCGACGCAGGGCCCTCTTCCGCAATGGCAGACAGATCTCCAGAATCGACGCATTAATCACACGCCTAATGACTCGGGTAACGATGATGTTCATTGTACTTCAAGGCTAATATACATGGATGTTTATAGCTAATGAAGCTAGACTGACCAACCAAAACACCACGATGGGACAAGGCATCAGGGAGTCAGTCTACACACCAAAACCCTAGATCCCTCTTCGTTCACATACTCGTCGCAGAAAAGCGCAGAAGTATAAGTTGTTGGGTCATGAAACGAAGTCCAACTCCCCACCTTCTACCACGTTCGACAAGGACTAGACTCGACCATTCATGACCCCGTCAGACGACTTGCTGCCCCTTCAGTAAGAACTTTGACTACTAATGTAAATACGCAAGCCAGGCAAGCCTGGATAACGGAAACGGCTTGAAGAAGTTTTGAGAGCGAGTTCCCGGCCAATACTGAGGTGCAATACCGAGATAATACCCGATATCAACCACCACAGCTCAGGAATGCCATCGAGCTTTCTACCTTGCATTAGGCAGAGCCTTCCTCCTCCTCCTCCGAGTTTTCATCACCTCTCTCCTCCAAACTACCCTCTCATTAAGCTCACCCAGCAGCTTTGATGATCTTTTCCTCCACAACCTTGCCCTCCGATTTCGCCCACTCATCGCCCTCTGACTGTCCGCTATTCCTCCTCACCACATTCGCGACCAGTCTCTTCAAACTCTCCGGTGCGTCCTCGCGGTCCATGAAAACCTCAATCATGCAAAGGCCCTTTCCCGATTTCACTTCTTCCCTATCAAGGATGGACAGAAGGTCACCCCAGGTCCTGGCTTGGTAGGTCTGGATCTTGTATTCTTGGCCATGCCTCCGCCCTTGCGCCTGAGTAGTCTGCTTCCCCTTCCGAGCATGACCTTTGATCTCGGCTCCTGTCTCAACGTCAAGGACTCCCTCATCACCACCATCACCGTTCACCGTACCATTAACAACAACCTCACCATCACCAGCACTGGTGCCAGCTTCGATCCCTTCCCACTCCCTCTCCTCACCTTCCCCCGTCATATCCGCACCAAAGAAATAAGGCGCATCAAGATACCGCCACCGCGAGACGTCATTATAATGCGCCTTCATGCCGTGGATAAACCGCTCGATCGTGTATCCATCATTGTTGATGAGGAACAGGGTGAGATCGAGTTTATGCCAGATGACGGTGGATAATTCCTGAGCGGTCATCTGGAAGGAGCCGTCACCTTCGAAGAGGATGGTTCGGCCGGATGCGGTGGTTGAGGATAGGACGTTCTTCTGCGGGGGATCGTTGAGAGCAGAAGTTAAGTCTGATTCTCCATTCCGTTGAAGCCCGTTCTGGCCATCTCCTTGCTCTCTATGCGAGCTTTCTCCATTCACACCCTCGTCCTTCCTCTCCTGCTGCAGTATCTCCCTAACGCCCAAAGCCGCGCCACACGCCGCAGCCATCATAAACCCAATACTCAACCAGATACTGCTATTGATCAACCTCGCATTCCGCGGCAGCACAAACTCTCTCGACCCGACACTCGGCGTCCCCGTCTCGGTGAGGATCACATCTCCCTCCTTGAAAAAGTTCGAGATTCGCCGCCAGAAATCATGCTGTTCGATCCCTGCGTCCGGATCCGGAGGCGGCAGACTTGCCAATTCTGCGCGCGGATAACCGAGATGCGTCGGGGGTAGGGCTCCATCCTCGGAATCCGGCCGTTAGCATCCATCTCCCTGAGCTGCGCTATCAATCTTCCAAGCAACCTCCTAATATCCACACCCTCTATCTTTTCCCCCTCCTCCCCAAAAACAATATGATCCCGGTGAAAATTCACCGTAGCCCTCTCTGGCGGCAGCGTACTGAACCCATATGTATTGACATCGCTATCCAACCCGCCAAACCGGAGCACCAGATCACAAGCATCGACCCATGGCTTATAGACGCTCCTGCCCGCGATACCCGCATAGATGCCATGGAAATTGGGTAGCGTCTCATCGACGCACGATTTGCCGAAAGGGGTGCTCGTCGTAGGCCAGCGGAGCAGACGGACCAAAGTGTCGATTTCGGAGAAGATGGACCAGCGCGCGACGAAGCCGTCGATGATAAGGAGGGGTTGCGTTGCGTGGCTGATGCGGGAGAGGAGACGCGCGAGAACCTCTTCTTCTGCTCGTTCTGACTCGGGCGTCACGGCGGGGAGGGTGTTGATAGGAGATGCAAGTCGAGCGGTGTCAACGGGCAGATCCACCAAATCAGTCGGCAGGGCGATGTACACCGGTCTCCTCTGCAGCACACACTCCCTCAGCACCCGGTCAATTTCCTGCACCACCATATCATCTTCATCTCCGCAGATCGTCCCCAGATCAACCTGCGCCACCGTCACCATCCTCGCCATCCGCCCAAAGATCCCAAAATCCCCATCCCCAAGACTATGATGTAGACACAGTCCCACCCGCTGCGCGGCGCGGGGTGGCGTG